TATATATTTACGTAGAAGCTCTGTGTGTTTTGTCTTGACAATACAGCCGTGTCCAGGGTTCTCTGTCCGTCTGCTTCGTTAATGCGTAACCAATATACGACCACCCCACAACACAACACTGGGATACACCGTCTTCTAGGAGTCGAGAGCGCCTACATCGACGTCTGACCTAATGACTGTTCGGGAGCGCCGAGCAACTCGGACAGACTTATGCATAGTCTCGTATGGGCCAGGAATGACTGTGTAGAATGAGAGGAAGTAGAAGTATGGGTCTGGTGAATTTCCCCTCGCCATAATCTCAGCCCTACGTGCAACAGATTGTGCTGTTGACGTTTTGGTCTACGAACTGATGATCATTTCTTATCGAGGGATTTACTTTCCTCACTCTCCCAAGGCTGTTATTAGACTGGGAATTTCTAGGGTCAGTGACTTCAGCTTGCTTGTCATTTTGGGCTCTCTACGTACTCACGGCACTTTTGTGCATGGTACATGGCGTTGAGTGTTCACTCTTGCCACTGACTTTCGCACCTGACCGATTATAGTGGACACTTTGTGTTTGATGTGCGAGCCTTGACTGTGCTAGCGCTTACCGCACCTTGAAGAGCATTTAGCACTGTCCGTCCTTTCTTAGGTTGCTGGTCTTCACACGTGATTTTTACATACGTTGGGATTCATTTTTATCTTATTAGAACTGTTGGTGGCACGGCTTCAAATGAAACGTTTCACCCGTTTTATCTATTAGTCTCCTTTAACTCCTCCACATCTACGCTTGCATTTACTTTTTATGTTTGTAACCAGTCTCTTCAAAAATAAACGATAGTATGAGGTAGGACTACCTCCGAAATTCACGGTTCCGGAGGATGAACAGTTTTGATTCAAAAGGTCATCAAGTGATTCTAAGTAGTCGGGAAAGGAGTCCCACCCACACCACTAAAACCGATCGAGTAAGGATGTCCTCCTGTACGATACACCCCTCACAAAATCGGAAGCATCATTCTAATCTAAGAAGTCGAGATAAGTTCTTAAGTGCACAGGTCTCTGAAACGACCAGCTAGCAGCCAATGTACTCTGTTCTATTGAACGTGGTTGGGAAGCCAACTTTTTGCATAGACCAGCTGGTCGCTCCCCTCTTTCACTAATCGCAACGAACAGCTGAACTTTCTGGCAGTCTACCGTGACAAGAGAACCTCGGCCGAGTCCCACGTAGCACAAATTGTTTACAACCTTCCTGCTGCGGCGTAGAGAACCTCGGCCGAGTCCCACGTAGCACAGATTGTTCACAATCTTCCTGCTGTAGCATGTCAATGACTAGCTGCGGAAAGCCACGTTCATTGGAACCGACCGGAATGCATATCACGATGACGTTCGGCCCGATATTCGCGAATCCATCAACTACGATGAGCTCGGGCTAACACAACTGTTTTTATTGAGAAAAACAATGGCACAACACGAGAGGAAAGCCGACTTCAGTTGCATCTCGTTCACAAATATAATCGGGTTCACAAAACATAACAAAGAAGTGACAACACACACAGGGCGTTTAAATAGATTAATCGAGGGAAACGACAGACCGAATGATCATAATAGTTTGAGTCAATCACAGGTGTACTGGAGGCAACCAGAACAGTGAGTTAAAGGGAGGACAATCCAATAAGAAGGCTGCAGAGGATAGGACATTATGCTTGAGCGCAGCGAAACGGTGGCGATGCTCGACAGACTTCCTTACAATATATTGATGTACGAATCAATTTTAGCACGTTGACGCTGAGAAACACATTCAGCAATCCATACGATGTTGCGCATTTCTTGTTCCTTAAGCTTGAGCAGCGAGTAGAAGATGCCAAAGTGGAATTGGTGCAAGAACGAGCTCACGTTTAGTTGGACCTACACGGAGAAAGCAAGCAGAGAAGCTATCGAAGACACATGGGAAACTTATGATAGAGGACATCGGTGAAACACACGTTGAACACGAAATCGCAGAAATAACAGAAAGTAACGAATGCTTTTAATGCTGAGGACAGGTAACGGAACTTACCAGAACGGTCGGAAGACCTGAGCACCGGCCGACGCCGACAGAACTCTTCCTATCGTCTTTTAGGGAGTCCTACCAATTGCTACCACCTTGATTTGGAGTCTGTAATTGGCTTGGACGTCCTTCTTAAAGGTCTAAGCGTATCAAGAAAATCTAAGGGGAGCAAGCTCATATGCAGCGGGTCCTCGTATTGCGACCGTCTGAGGGTACAGCTGTGGACGCACCAAGATGTTTCCTCCAGGCGACCAACATGACAATATTTATGAAAGCAGTCATTTCTCCTTCCTCTTCTCCGAAGTCAGCATACCACGATCACCCAACGTTGATTATGATTGTCCGCTAAGCGCTCAAACCCTATCACAATAGTCTGATTGGGATCAGAACGTATCCGAAATGTACAGCAGTATTAGGAGTGGGGCACTCCCTCCTTGCTACCTGCGCTCACGTAGTAAGCTAGCTGTGCACAACCAAATGGGTCCGAGACTATCGAGTTACGATTTTCGGTTGCGATTACATCCGTCCCCGCAAAAACTTTTAACCTCTCTTTCGAGGTCAAGACATTCAAGTCAGAGGTTGGGGATGGGGACCTTGCAAAAGCTCCTACATCCAACCATCAATCAAGGGTTTATAGCGAAGTACCTTGAACTATTTCGCTTCCCCAACCAATAAAATTCGCCCACGAGGTTGTTCGCACATTAACCCCCATAAACATCCCATCCACATCAATAAGACGTATTGGGTCAGCCAGATTCACCTGAAAAACGGACAGATAATGTACTAATAAATTCAAAAATCCCTTTTTAAGTTGGCCAATAGATGCCGCTTTGGTAGGTCTTATTCGCTTAATTCCAGCGTACACTGTGTCGCTGAAGCGCCTGAACAGAACTATTGCTTGGTTTTGCACCTGAAACCTCCTGATATTTCACAATCAATGCTACGGGTGTCACGTGATTCTGGAGCAATGAATCAGGCTGTTTAAAGTGTTGGAGCTGCACTCACCCTCAAGTGCCGAAGGTGAGAATGAGACCTTCATCTTCGGCCCAACTAGACTGATCCATCCGAATAGCACTGATATTGTTGTTTGCGACTGATATGAACGCCCAAGTTGCCTCAGTGAATCCTACGGAAGCTCGTCTTGGTGGAAGATTCAAACTTGAATGCGTCCCCCACAGATAGCGGAGGGAGGCTCTTTCAACCATTCGCCGACTATCACCTACTTCTGGATAGCATGAATGTCCAACTTAAACATTTACATCGTGTAGCCATTAACAAAGGATCAGCCACGGACTCAGCTGGACAACGTGGCAATCAGCTACCCATTAGGAGGAAACACCGAAGTTCCTTCGGAATACACGTCTTGATTTTAATCGTTCGATAGTTTGAGCACATTTAGTAATCCAATTTCCACCGGGACAGTGGACCAATAAAACGGCCAGACTACTGATCATAGAAGACTGCTGCAGCAGTATCGATATGGGCTAGTCCAAAAAACTGGCACACGTTTGTCATCATCGGTATCACAAAATTATTGTTTAGGACCTACGACTCATTGACGAACAACCATAATTTATTCGAAGGTCTTATTTTGGAGAAAGCAATAAAAGCTGGTGGAGAATGGACCTAGTCCCAGCCTACAACGATCACTGCGAGGCACCTATACCTCTATACACTAATTCAAACCAGCTGACGACAAAGGCACTGACATCGGTTGAAAGCCACACCTTGCAGCGTCCGAAACCATGCATAAGGGATCACTGAGTGTTCGGAGGTTAACCGTCCCTAATAACCGAAAACCACATAATTTGGACGGAGTGTCACGTGCAGGACACGAACCAAACGAAGGCATGCCCTGATTGGTCAGAATGCCAGTCAATCAGGATCGAGCATCTTAGACTCGACGTTTCTCGCCCCCCTCACGGGGATTCTAGCACGATCTTGTGGAACACCCTGTGATTACCTTATAAATACAGTTGTAGTAATTTTCATTTGTCTCCATACATGGTTGTATACAGCTGCCGTGCCTTTTGACATACCATAGTGGGCGGAGCAGGAAGCTAAGGGACCGATACAGAGTTGTACTACCGTTCAGCAAGCCACAACACTGAGGGTCCACTGATATCTCGTAATCGATATCATACTGCTGTGCCAGATCAAGGAATGATTGCGCAACTCTGAATCGGATAAGGAGAACAGCACTCTTTTCGGCAAAAGATGGTTCGGAGTGCGTAATACATGACCACAACACCGCAGCTTTTGGTGCTGGATGCACTCTTGAAGTCTGCTGCACAAAATGGATTAGGTTTTCTGACTGTTCCGTTGTGGATTCGCCGGCACTAGCCTACATGAGCTATGGTTCCGAGACAACGGATGTTGAAGACCCGGAGAAGCCTCAGTTCCCGTGTCCACGGAGTTCACACCTCACAACCACACAAAACATATGTAGCCCGATACACAAGTCTCTCGAGATTCAGGGATATGCTGCTTTGCCGCCACATGTGTCTCAAATTAGCAATTAGGGATTTGTGTGTTTACGTCATGCCTAATACTGCAATCGGAGCTTGTAAAACTTCAAGGTAGATAAAACGCTCCACAACACCAAATGATTCTCCTTCGATTGTAAGTGGCGCGCCCAGTGATTGCTTATCCAGGGTGCACAGTGCATGCCAGTGGACGGAATAACTTTAGTTAGCCCATCCAAAAAAATCGTGTCCCCTTTTTCTCCTCAAAGAGGAGAACGATGTCATCAGAATAGCCCAGATCGACAAGGTTTTTGTCAGCGGCTATCTGAAAACCAGGGTTTCGAAGATTTTCCATCTCCTTTGTCAATTTCCTTAGCCCGAGAGAGTAGGTATTTCTGTCGGACACCACTTTGTGCACAGAAGTTTATGAGAAACTTCGGAGGCATTCATCACTGAGCAAACATTTTGAGCAGAACAAACCAGTCAACAGAGTCAAATGTGCCATGCAAATCTAGGGACAAAAACTGTAGACCGGTTATACGTACGGTGTTGCCTTAGTATCTGATATAGTAAAAAGATTTGATCAACGCAACCTATACCAAGCCAAATAGTTCAGTGGTTAAGGCGCCAGCTTACGACCTGGAAGGTACGTGGTTCGGACCCAGTCCCAGCATCTCGACTGCTCCTCTCAAGGCTTGGGTAACCTGGCAGTAACAAACCCTTGTGCCTGCCTCCGTTAGCATACCAGGTCGGAATCACGCTAGCTGCTCTTGAGTCAGTGTTTCCCGAGCTAGCATAAGGCGATGAAGGACAAACAGCACCAACAGTCTCCTTACGACTAAATTCAAGCCGATCTCTCCGTGATCGCCACGTTCATTACGGGCCCTTTTTTGAAAACGGGGACTATAACCTATCCTCCCCAATTGTATGGGATAGCTTCCTTCCTCCAAACGGAAGCAAACGATTCTGGCAAGCGCTGAGTAGGAACCTCTACCCCCGAGTGTTACGTGTGAGAAGTCATTCGGGCCAGGAAGAGCTCGGAGACATCATGGAGAAGGAATGCAGTTACAAACCCCAAGGCTGTGCCGGATTCTAGGATCACTGTTCAAGGTTCCGATGCAGTTCGAGAATCCGTGTGAGTAGTGGCAGGTGACGAAGAGAATTGTTTTTGAAAGTGTTCGACTGATCGCTACTCCTTGTTATTTATGAAGAACGCGTCAGTTTGGTCCTTCGGGATTTTGCCCACAGGTGATGTTCGGGAATTGGTGGCGTTGTCCAAACGAAATAAACGTCGGACGTTGCGGACACTCTTGACATCTTCCATTTCCATGTCCACTGGGCCTCATTATCGGCACACACGCTGATTTCACCTGACGTTTGTAAATTCGCTGGGTTGGATTATGCTGAGGAAAGGTGGAATCTTGATTACGCTGACGATATCGTCGTCAGGGACGCCTGGTCTCGCCTAATAATAAATATTCGTTCAGCTGACGCCTTTTCGGATACATCACGGAGGCTGATATATTGCCAGTTTCCCCAAGCCTAGACAGGAGTAGCCGAGATGCAGATGTTGGGCTCGAAGCGCGGAACTTTCGGTTAGTAAGTTCCCGCCTTAATCAATGAGCTGTCTCCAGTCTTGTCTACGCTGTGTTCAGGGACAGCCCACAAAACACATTGACTAGTTCAAGTATATGGTCACCATCATCTCAAATGGTTAGGCGTTGCAAAAAGCAGACGACACCAGGAAGACCTCCATGCAGCCTCCCACCACCCTGTTGGAACGCTCAGAAATCAGTCTTCAGAATGAACTCCTTGTGTACACTGGGACCGTCCGGTCTGTAGTGACATGCGCCAGAGAGATTTGGCTTTTCCGAACCGTCGATTTTTCTCAAACTCGAAGTATTGGGCTACTGTAGATCAATGCGCATAATCGAATTACCTTGGAACGACAGGGTTGAGCCACAACATTCGCTCCTAACACCGCTGTTTCTGGAAACCATCGAAATCAACGTTTCAGAGAACTTTGGTAAACAATCGGTGGATCCAACGCCGACCAAGGTTCGACTCGTGACAAACGGCTCCCTCAACCCACATAGATAGGTTTTAAGGTTTGCCATTTCGAAAGGTTAGCAGAGAACCAATCAGCTAGGTCGCCGCGGTAGCCAAAATCTGCATTACGTGTCCGTTAAAGGTTTTAGATAGCGCGGGGAGTAGGTGTGGGTGAACCTACAGCTGCCTTCAGGTTCACAGCATTTCAATTAAAGATTTTTCCTGAGGATTTTGTTGCTGTGTGCTTGAATTAATGCCACAACTGGATTGGGGAAAGTATACATATTTTCATCGGATTTGGCTTTGTATTTCAGATCTAAGCTCCCCTTTACTGACCACCGCATGCCGTTAAGTGTCAAATAGACCATCTAAAACCGTTTAAGTTTGCCAGCTCGACGTTCTGTTTTAATCAAGTTGGGATTTTGGCGATTCCCACCCAGCCATCAGCCGTTTTAAGTAGGGTACTTCCGGCCTCAAAACTTCCACGTCTTCTAAAACTATTCTACGTCCCGTGTCCATGGCCGAGTCTTTAACTAGAACCTGACACTCATCTGCGTCTCTCAGTGGTTTGCTTATTTTTCTGTTTTGCTCACCAATTCGTGTGCAGTTGTACGTAGAAGTCGATGTAATCGTTATATTCAATTTTTAGGACCCTGGCCAGTTAATCCAACCTTGAAGTTATCTTTCAAATGGACCAACGAAGGACGTGAGCTTTTTCTTTCTAAAACGTTACTCCAGCTATGTAACATCCCGCGAATAATCTTGTTTCTTCCAAGATGACCGTCCATATCTGTGCAATCCGTTCCGTACGGGCTTTTGATACCGAGGCTAATATCGACCTCACATGCCGTTCAGTCGAAGGTACTGGGTATCCACTTTCTTGAAATATGTTTTTGATCCTGCGATTGGGACAAGTTTTTATACCCCCAACTATGTCATCATTCACTGAAAGGCATGTGACTTCTTGCAGTGATGTGTTTGTTGGTAGTCACATTTTGATCTATTGTCTACCTCGAGTTTACACGAAAACTGAATCCGTTTATCATCAAGGTAGCCCTGCGATTTTGCTACCAAAATCGCAGGAAAAACCACAAGTGGTTGATTTCCCCGAAAATATAGAATGCCAGTTCAGAATCTGGTGGACCCACTCTCGATATATGCCTCATGGGTTTCTGCGCATTCCTAAGGCCGTGTCGATTGCACGTTTAGGATAACCGGATAGCGCTTAGCCTGGCCAGAATGACTAAACGCGGATCACGAACGCCTACCAATTTCACCCATCACATCCACAGCAAACCCGCAGTTAACCTGTAGGACACATGTTACTCGCCCTCATTCGTGGTGATTATGGTCACACCCAAATGCAATCATAACATAATAGTAATAAAATCCACTCGATTAAACATACTTAGGGCTCTGCACTCTGATGGTGCGGTATTCAAAGCTAGTGGCTGTTGATACATCAGGACATGACCAACTGCACTCCTAGTTTTTTTCCGCTTCCGATGAAGGGGTCCTTTGAAACTACTTTCTCTGCTTCTAGGAGGCCTTTGTTCACAGGGAAGCTCAGCTCCTTTTCTACCAGACCAAGCCGCATTTCATTCGAACAAGTCGAATTAGCTTGCAAAGTATTTACTTTTTCCGTGGGTTTTCCAGAACACTGATTAATGGAATATGATTTCTAAAACGTATGTATCCGTGTCCGTTTGAACTCCAGACCTTAAGTGGACTTCACTTTCGCCACGCTGGGAATCTGGAAGTCTGCGGATGAAACCACGACCTGAAATTCGTGGCAGAACTAAATCCACCGATTGTTTCTCAAACTCCTCTGAAATAACGATCTCTCAAAAGGCTCCAGGCCTTTCTCAATGGACCAAATGAAAGCCGTGGATCATTCCCGCCTCGGTACATTTATTATGAACGTAAGCTATTCTCATTTTTCGGTGCAAGTTACCCGCGCATACAGCTCCCTTCGGGCTGCGTGCCTCTACTAGGCAAGCACAGCTGAGCATCTGCTTCACAGGAATTCCGGAATTCCTGCCTACTGTGTTTAAGGACAGTGGTCAGATCCTAAATTCGTGCCCAGTGTATGTGCTCTGACTAGATGTATACGTGTACAGGCTACCCGGAAGCATCCGGTAAGATGATTCTGGAACGCGCTCTCTCCCCTCAATTTCTCTTATCATATCAGGGATTTCTAAGTACAAATTATGTCTAACAATGGCAGTTAACGACGGAAAGCTACTGTCAAAAGTATAGAATGAAATTTGTGATAAGTAGGTACACAACTCAATGGGGAGGCGCCTTGTGTGGTCAGTAAAGGCTGTCCAATACGTTAGTTTAACAAAGGTAGCCTCTAAAATGGGCCATTTGTATTCCACTATGTAGGGAGTCTTAATTCCTGAGGACCATTGTGTGAATGGAAGAATCGTCTCATCTCAAACTCAGTTTGAAACAAAACCGACAGGTCGAATTTGTAGATATGTCTCTATGTCCATCAACAGTGTGCGTCACGAAATTCCGGGGTGATTCGAACCGGCATCCTCCAGGCTAGTAGTCGAACAGAGTAAAAGCGAATCGGCAAGGATGACAAATTCGCCTGTGGCTCAATTATCGCTCGAATAGTGGGTGAAATGGTGCCCGAATCGGTCTGTCTCAGGATATCTAGCATTCGCACAAGCTGAACCAAAACAGTGCTTTGTTGCTTCTCACAGAATCCAACCACACCACCGTGTGTATTGATTGCTGAATGGTTTGTACTTTTCCGTAAACCTGATCACTACATTTCAGATACTTCGAATGTATTTTACGCAAAAGAAACTGACTCCCAGCGGTATAGCTCAGTCTGAGGTCAACGGGTTGGTGGGATCACTACGAGTTGCCACGCAGCACAACGGTAGACTCCGTACGCTGGGCACTATTGAGACTATGAGTTATCGACCTAATCCAAGCCAAAAGACGTGTTCATATAATTTATCCGGTTGGGTGATGCAACGAATGTCTGCTGAAACAAAGGTCACGCTCTAATGAGAGTAATGTAGTGACCCTAAAAAACATATGTGGCGTAAGTTCTGCTATTCGAAAAACCCCTGCAAACAAGTTGACACATGGTGGTCTATCGATCGCCAAGCACACACAACGCAACCAGGATTCGATTGATCGGATCACGAAACCTACGAAATGCGATACCTCTGATATTCAAAACGAACAGCATCGGTGGGAAGTTACACTATATCGATGAAATCTAAACAGGTCAGCGGGTCATAACCAAAGTTAGATGACACTCTCAATGCTGGCTTTTCTAGCCCCATAATTCCAAATAAAGAGGACCAAGTTGGCGGGCAATGAATGCGTTCAGACGTGATGTCTCTCTAACACAATACTGCCCTACAAAGAACAAGAAAGTAGTTCCAGATTGTGCAAGAGTAGGTGTGCGTACTTACAGTTACTGGAGTGGACTTTCCGCCTGGGATTTCGCAGTTTGATCTTCATGGCAAGTTGGACTCAAACGGTGTGGGATGAACAATTATTCGTAATAAAATCAGAAACAACACCACATACCATTCTACCAGTGAGGAGATACCGTGTGTTTCCTTACCTCGCACAAAAGAGTGGCAAACAGAGCCGATTCAGGGGGCAGGCAACAACCTGTTCAATGCTATCGATTCGTTATGAGAAGCTATCACTGCTGCCGGGTCGGCGAGAAACTCAAGCAAATAAGTTTGTTACAGCTCGGATTTAAGGCCACTAAGACAAAAGTACATGTTACGGTGATCTTCTGGAACCCTAACTGCACTGAACGGATCGCGATGTTGGACTAGTAGTCCGCTCGTGACAGAAGAGAGCGAATTCACGCAGACGGAGAGTTGCGGTGGTTTCCTTTAGTCTCAAATGAACACCAGTATAGCAAAGTGATTAGTTCTCAGATCAAACATTCACCTACCGACCGTATTTGCCTAATGTAATGCCATGAAGTAGAAAACAGACATAAAGAGTGCCTCTTGCATACTGACTCTCTGTGTATTACCCTCAAAAGTCAAGAAACTAATCTCACATTAGTTACGGCATACTGGATTATGCTACCGTGGATGTGGAATTTTTTTCGAAGAAAAAGAAGCACTGAGGAAGCAACGATAACTACGACTTACCTCATATTCGAAGAATTTGTCCTCCAAAGTCTTATCACCAAAGTTGTCTCCTGTATCATCAAACAGGCTGGAGTAGTTCTGCAAGGAGAAAAACAAGCGAAGATAGCTGCCAATCAGAGGCAAAAGTGCTCAGCAACTGTAATGGGGCGGACACTGGAATCTATGGATCATCTGTCCACGAGTCAGTCGAAAGTCTGGACCGGAATAGCACATGCGCCGAAGGGACAGAGATGACTAGTATAGTTGATTTTTTTCGTAGACGAGGAAGCTACTTCCTTCAGTCTCAGTTTTAGCATCGAATACTCTCCGGAAAAAAATTCCAACCAATGAATCAGCCTCGAACAGTCGCGCCCTCAATGGCGCGCATGCATCCAAGCTATTGCCTTCCGTGCATAGCTCCCTTCCCAATCCCGCCACTTAATAGTCCACCTACAGCGCTGTATTTACGCACTAATTTATCAGCTCCCGCCTTCAATGCGCAGCTACCTATCCCACCTCTCCGAACCATCGGTGAACGAAACTGTGTCAGCTACAACCACTGTACGGCAAGCACGCGGTTATTACAGCCGACAATGATGATGATGATGGTGATGAGCCCCGAACAGTGATTACGTGGGATTGTTCTGTTTACCCATACAGAAACAATACGGTACTCTCTCCTTATTACAAATTCGGAAATCTTAAACGAAATCGATTGTATCGGATGCATGGTTGTAAAACGAAGGGGGGAATAGCGTAACATCTATGGATGTCGCAGTAGAGTCAGTACAGGGAAGATCGTTGGATTCACGCAGTTGCGTTTAACAGGCCTGGTAGATAGGGCTATAAATCTGGAGCTTGCTAAAAATGAGAAATGATTTTTACCTCGTGTTACCGAGTCGCAAAGACTGTGCCGAAAGACAGTGAGTTTCACTTCGATTTCGAGTCATCCGGGTGCCAGTAGCGACCGAACATCAGCTCAAAATTGGTTTCATATCAGTGAAGGCTGTTCATACGCACAAACTGAGCTAGCCGAGTGGTGTATTAATAAACCGGCCAAACACGCGCGCAAGTCCACAAAAACGATGTTATGCTCGGGAGGATTTACGAGTTCTCCGTACGGATACCTATTGTTGGTCTGAACAAATGAGCAACTGAGAGGAGGTGAATTAAACCAAACGGAAATTCATCAATGTAGAAGCTGTTAAAGCAAGTCATACTTCACTCATTTCTGGTAAACAATTAAAACATGGCCGGCCAAGTTCAGATACAATGCAATAATTCACCATGTGCTTCAGAACTCCATATCTGGCTAAAAAAATCATTGCTGCCACCCGGCCACACTTGCAATTTTTAATCCGAGTATACCCTTCCATGGGATCAGTTACATAAAGTGCCTAGTCGACCAAGTGTTTCATATACTGATGGAAATCATAACACTGAGATACTGCCAGGTTGTCCAAGCATACGCAGGAATAGTCAAGGATCCAGAGCCGCGTTTCATCAGACACTACAACTGAAATCGGTCAAGAACCCGAACACGTGGTTTGTAGGGCGTCCAGGTTTATTGCGTAGTGAAGATACCACAACTGTCCAGTACAGCACAAGATGATCGCAACTTATGGTTGCCACGGACGTCTTTCACGTCTTTGAGACGACCGAATACCGTGATGGTCTTTGCAATTCGTAGGTTTGTTTCGCTATCAAATGTCAGGTCTGTTGGTAGAGCGCTGAAGAGATAGTGGAAATCCATACAGCATGCCATCACACCCTGAGCTATTGGCTACCAAGTGTTTCAGAAATATATGTAAAGCACACCAAGGTGCCTCTGAAGTAAACATCACAGTTAGGAATGCGAAAGCAAGTGCGTGCTTCCGTGAGTGGCAACAGAGGGACATATGTCGGTGAAAAAGTTTTTAACACTGGATAGATAACCATCCAGATGAAATTAAACACCCTCACAATGGAAGAACACTTCTGCGCGGGCAGTTATTCAGTGAAGGCTGAACACGTCGGGGCAACAACACAACCCTGCACCCCTCGCGCACCAACTTAGAACTTGTTCTAAATAATAGTGGAGTTCCGCTCTAAGACTTTCATTCCAGTGTGGAAGGCTTTAGTGACATGGAAAAATTCGTCCTACCATCTAAGATTTAATGCTGACGGAGTCGAGGACTTGAGTGACGTCCACAAAAAAAGCATGAACGTCTGAATCATCCAAAAAAGCAACATGGGGGTTGATACCAGCGCTTCACTATCCTAGAACGGAAACGCTTACTTTATTTTATCTGAAGTGAAAAAAAA